TACCGCRTGAGCTATTTCCTGCTTGATCTGGGCAAATGCTTGCTGCTGTTTATGGCCCCAGTGGAAATCATTCTTCTTGCGGGTCACCAGGTAGAGAGGGCTCACAATCTGGCTATACTCAGGGATGTGCATCCTCCAAAAGCCTATGGTGCCTAGGAAAGCTTGTGTTTCCTTTTTTCTGGTTGGTGGATACATCARTGCGATCTTGTTGATGACCTYGGTGGGGATCTGACGCCGTCCATCTTGCCACTTTACTCCCAAGAATTGGATCTCTCAAGCAGGTCCCTTCACTTTGTTCCTTTTTGTGGCAAAGCTGGCTTCCAGGAGAATCTGGATGATCTCCCCTTTTGTAAATACTTCCATTGCCGTGTCCCACCACACAATGATGTCATCAATATATTGAAGATGTTCCAGAGGCTCACCCTTTTCCAGTGTGGCTTGGATCAGCCCGTGGCAGATGGTAGGGCTGTGCTTCCACCCCTGTGGCACGCCTCTCCAGGTGAAGGCAAACTGTGGCCTGCACTCTGCTGCCAGAGGAATAGAGAAGAACACATTGGCGATGTCAATGGTGGCATACCACTTCACTGCTTTGGACTCCAGCTTGTACTGGAGGTCCAGCATTTCTGGCATGGCAGCACTCGGTGGTGGAGTCACTTCATTTAAGCCACGRTAGTCCACAGTCAATCTCCATTCTCCTTCACATTTGCGTACAGGCCAGAAGGGGCTGTTGAAGGGTGAGTGGGCCTTGCTGACAACCCCTTGGCTCTCCAGCTCACAGATCATCTTATGGATGGGGATCACGGCATTTCGATTCGTACGGTACTGCTGGCGGTCCACTGTCAAGGTGGCGATTGGAACGTGCTGCTCTTCTGCTTGCAGGAGTCCAACTGCAGAAGGGTTCTCGRATAGTCCAGGCAAGGTGTTCAGCTGTCTGATGCCCTCTACCTCCACAGAAGCTATTCCAAAAGCCCATTTGAGTTCTTTTGGGTCTTTGAAAAAACCRTTCCAGAGGAAATCTATGCCCAGAATGCATGGGGCCTCTGGACCAYTCATAATGGAATGTTTCTGCCAGTCCCTCCCAGTCAGGTTCACCTCAGCTTCCAACAGAGTCAACTCCCATGATCCCCCTGTCAATCTCGTGAAAGAAATGCGTTCTGCTCCCTCATGTCCTGATGGCATCAGGGTACACTGCGCTCCTGTGTCTAACCAATGCTTCRTATTTYTGTGGCTCTGATGTGCCAAGCCATCAGATCCACACCATCCAGAAGACACGGTTTTCCCATGCCTCTACCTGGCTAGAGRCAGGGCCCCTTTATACCCTTGGTATCATCCCTTCCATGGGCACACCCACAGTTTTCTCCAGGGGAATCGGACATATCACCTCCCCCTCCATTTCATCTAGTGGGTTGGCTATGGGAAGCTGAGGCTACCTTCCCTTTAAAAGAGCTTCCTTGGCTAGTGTTTTCYCCCTTGAGCTGATGCACCCAGGCTGCCAGGGCAGAAGTGGGTTTCCCATCCCACCTACTCATGTCTTCACCTTGCTCACATAGGAAGAACCACAGCTCAGCTTGTGGGATGTACCCTCTTTCCCTTGCTGGGGGACGTCGGGCTCTGATGTTGGGGCCTGTGGCTTGCAGTGGTGCCACACTGTTCTTCCTCATCTTCTCCTTAATCTCTTTCAGCTCCTCTTGGAGGTCTTTAACCACAGCAGAGACGTGAGTCTGCATCRGGCCATTGATCATACTTGCATAATACCAGAGCCTGTTGGCTACAGAACCCACTGTCTCTCAGTTGTCATCAGCATTAATCGTGGCAATGAAGGTGGCATACTGGGATGGCCCCTGACTTGCCAGATTCCACAGCATTTGCCCGGTGCACCTGACTTGGTCAGGATCATTATGATGCTGCCCGTCCCTTCCAAAGAGTACCTCCATTACTCCTACTTCTCAGAGCCGTTGGATCCCTTCCTCAATGGTCTTCCAGGACATTCTGCGATAGTGTTCCTGCATCCTGTCTCTACRGACAAACCTCTCTCTTACACTCATTAAGAGCTGCTCCCAGAGACAAAGGGGCCCTGGCTCCCTCACAAACACCTGATTAATACCCGCATCTTTGGTCAAGGCTCCTAAATACCTTGCCTCACCACTATCCAATTGCACACTTGAGCCCATAAGGTCCCAAACCTGAAGTAACCAAGTTGAACAAGCCTCACACTGCCATTGCGCAATGTCATCTTGCAAATTGTGGAGGCTGTCATGTGACAGGGACTCAGTGATTATTTCAGGCTCTGGATCCCCTGTTGGTTGTGAGGGCCCTGGTTCCCCATYATCATTAGCTGAGCGTACCGATTTGGTTTTATACTTCTTCCTCTGCACAGGGGCTACTGCAGCTGGTTGTGGCTGGCCTTGCGGTTCAGCCAGAACCTGGACAGGTGTAAYGTCCGTGGGTTCCACTGCTGCACCATCAGACCCTTCCTCTTTGGGAGAGGGAAAGGGTTTGCCGCCAGCTGGGAAGATGTATTCCCTTCACCCCTGGTGCAGCTCCCGCATCTCCTCCACCAGTAGCCCCACCCACTCTRGGCGGCGCAGCTCCCACATCTCTTCCRCCAGTACCCTCACCCACTCTGGGCAGTTAGTTTCTGAAGTAGGTTGTTGGGCAGGGTCAGGCAGTGGGACAGGGTTCAGCTTGGGGGATGGGTCAGGCTCAGTGGCAGCATTTCTAGTCTCTGGGGCAGCATCCCTAGCCTCTGGAGCAGCACCCCTAGTCTCTGTGGCAATGTCCCTAGTTTCTGTGGCAGCATCYCTGGTCATCCCTGGTGCAGATGTTAGAGTGGTTGCCCAGGGCAGTCTCACCTTGTCCTTCAATGGTAACAGAATATGCATATTAGTATMATGTAGTTAGCATCTAGGGGAAAAATGGACCCTTTGAGCGCTGATGGARTAGCCCCAAATAAATGGGTGAAGGGTTGGGAGAAAGCTTCCCCTTGTATTATTTCCTCACAGTAGGTACCATTATTAACCCAACTCCAAAAGCATGCACTTCGTGTGTGGTAGCCCTGTATCAATGTGCCTGCTGTCCAGAGGAAGTTAAAAATCCATGAATTCCTCACCTTATTCACCCCTTGTATGAACTGGATAATGGTCACCATAGCCCTAGTCATAGGACCCATGTTTAGGAAAGGAGCTGCAAATGGGAAAATACGGCCACAAGTATGTGCCAGCCGAACCAAGGTATGCTGGACCACATGATGACRCTTAGTGAAGTTCCTACAGCCCAAACACAAAGACAGATCACCCAAAAACTGTTATTCCTTTTGTACCCCTTTTTSCTCTCTGTGCCCTTGAGCCGCACATTGGGCGCCAAAATCTGTTTTGGTTTGAAAGACAGATGCTTGCCAATGAAGGCAGGGACCCCCCTTGGAGTGGTGGATATTACCTGCCCCCCCTTCTGTCTGAATTATTACAGCTTTAAAAAATCATGGGCTTTCAGGCAAGAACATGGGTAAAAGGGAATAACAGTTTTTACTAATATATATAACAAGGTGAAGCAAGTAACAACCACGATAGCAATAACCAACTCAGCCACAAACCCCAATGACAGCCTCACACAGAGATACACCCTCCCCTTTGGTGTAGTTACAGTCCCAGTCGGCAGGGGTGCTGTTGGCTTCCGGCCATGCAGGGCAGGTGCAATGATTCCCCGGTGGCTGCAGGGGGCGCTGTGGCGTGAGTCCTGGCTAGGTTCTGCTCTCCCGGTGGCCAATGGTGGACACAAACCAGCAGAGGTGGACAGAGAAAAAGTTCCTCTGCAAACTCACAGTGGAAAATGCCGATCTCAGTGCTCCTTTGGACAGCAAGAAACCCCAGAATGGCCAGATGAGCAAAGAGATGAGCAGCATCCTGCGTGTGCAGACAGGATGCAGCAGAACTCGACCACTGCAGCTGGAACCTCAGGGGTCCTGGCAAGGCACAGGGGCAGAAGATCACAATGCAGCAAACAGGAACCAACAAGCAGAGATGCTGGGCTCCTCAGCAGGCGAGCTCTTCCCTGGAGGCAGGAGGTCCACCATTTCCCCTGAGCCAAGTAGGGCAGGAAGTGAAGCTATTCCCCACCCCACACACACATGCACCTTCCCCAARCCCAAAATTCGTGGGAGAACTTGCCTCTCTYGAAAGAGAGGGATAAAAAAACTGCCAGGCAGGAGGAGTGCCCAGGGAGATCCTTCAGGTGGGGCATAGCTTCTTTTTGTCTTCCCCAATTGTCCAGCCATCAAAAGAATGACTTGGCAATCAGTGTATCCCAGCAAAAAAATGGGAAAGAAAAATTCCCCAAGAAAAGAAACAAAAGGAGAAACCTTAACCCACAACAGACMGCGTTGTTGGCAAATTCCACCAGTTAACTTAAAGGTAATGCATTGTATAGACTAGTAGATACACAACCTTTTCAATAGGAAAATATACATGTAAAGTTCTAGTCCACCTAGCAGTTGTTGCAGTGGTAACTACACTACAGAAGGATTATGTATCCTTTAATAAATGTCATGTACCCTGTTGAATTTCCTCCAGTAAACAGTTGCAAACCAAGCGTATTTATTGCTGCAATGGTTGTCTTTGCCAGCTTGTGCTTTAGTGTAGAACATACCTGTTAAATTTCTTTTCCAAAGATGAGTCCCAGTCATTAGCTCATACTGTTTTAAGTATTTAAAGGGGCAGCTGTGCTTCCATGTATAATAGGGAGCACTTCATAAGCCTATTTTCTGGTAGCTTTCAGTGCAGTTTCATTTTAGAGTAGGTAAACCCAGAGGGATTGATGGGGAGAGGAGGTAAGTTTTTACTGTAATGCTTTTTAGTGGTGACAAATATTCTGTTTGATTCTTTCAGATATGTTCAGGATATGGAAGTGCAGCTATCAAATGAGCAGGAATCCCTGCTGGCTAACACTACAGGTGGAGAAAACAAAAAAAAAAAAAAATACTAACTGGGTCTTTTATTCTGTTTCAGTGTCGCCCATCCAAAGGCCGAAAAAGAGGTTATTGCTGGTGCGTGGATAAATATGGACAGCCACTTCCTGGGTATGATGGGAAGGGAAACGGAGATGTCCACTGCTATAACTTGGAAAGCAAATGAGGGCTGGGTGCCAGCTCTTCTGGCATCTGTGCATGGCCACTGGACCTCACAGAGACCTTGGAGGGGCTGGGCAGACACTGTGGACTGCACTGCAGGTGGAGTAACATGCTCTGCYTCTTGTAGCAGATAGGGAGTTGCAGCCTCTGTGGATGCTGCTGCAGCTGCACCCTGTCACCGACACACATCGAGCTTCCTATAGGATGTGCAGGGAGCTCTGAATTCCCATGTAAACCTGCACTATTGATACCCAGAAAGAGAAAAACAAAAGGCACTTCAGAATGGATTCAGGGAGTCTCCACTGACTTTTTAAAGAACAGCCTGTGACCAATTTGATCCCAAAAGATACTGTTTTGTGTTTTTTTTTTTTTTATTTTAAACTATTTAGAGATTTTAAGCTTGTAAATGTATTAAAAAGAAAAACAAAAACAAAAAACACACAAGGATTTAAAGGTAAACCTTTTTTTACAGTCTGTTGGGAAACATGTTTTCACGGGTAAAAAGTTTTATAAAAAAACTCAAAGAACTTTTTAAAGAAATGTATTTCTAAAATAAAGACATGGCTATTTTTTTCTGTAAAATATATTATGAATATTCTGTTAGTCTGTATTTAATATAATTGTTTTTAATAAACTTAATTTAGTGTAACATCTGAATACCAAATATTACACAGTGATTCTGGGGTATACATCTGTATGCAAAGAGAAAGTAAGGGTATGGAGTGATTTACCAATATGTATAAATCTGTATGCATACACATTGACCTGTCCTAGATAAAAGAAATGAATTTGTGGAGCAAAGGAAGTGTTTCCAGAAAAGATTGAACTTGTTTATTTGATATAACTACAAATACAAAGATAATAATTTTTTATTATTTTATTTTATTGATAATTCTAATGCACCCATCACTAAATTGCGTCCCTGGAAAAGATAAGAGTCGCACTGAAACTCTTGGTAAAGCTTTCTTCTCTCTGTGCTTTGCTTCACTTTGTGCAACAYGGCTTACATTAATTCCATTTACTGCTTACACTAACACAGAATATTCATGGACAAAAAATTGCCATAACAGTACTACCCTTTGTATTTGCTTATTTATTTTGAAAAGGTGTATCTATTCTCTGTTGTCTTGGTGCATTCTACCWAAGCACATGTATGAGGAACTCCTGTTGAAATCAATGTCGACAAGATGGGGGGATTGTGGACGCTGGGTGTTGAGACCCATGTGCTTCATTTATGCTACACACAATTGTTGCTTGCTTTGACTATGGTAGAAATCATTTGCCTGCATCTAAGCATAAAATAAGAACCATTGGGTTTAAAYAGTAAAACTCACTGTCTACCATGGTGTTACATGTCTTTTTAATTGGAAGAGAAGTGATTTGGTTTTGTTGTGGTATGTGATGCTTTCACATAAGGAAGGCTTTGGCAATTTTTTTTTATTTTTGAGGTTGATTGCTTAATGTACTTTGTGAAAAATTCTGTATGACAATGAAATCTGGATAAGGAAAGGTGGCCTGTGAAATGTATCATCTCTCTGGAAAATAATGCCATATTTCGTAAATGTATTTATTTATATATTTTATATAAATATTTTATATATTTATATAAATATATATATTCTTATATATGTCACTATAAATGTTTGAAGTCACTGTAGAAAAAAGAGGCTATTAAYACTACTTTCTTATTGGGTTGGGAACTCCATGAAGACTAAGGATAGTGGGTCCCAGTGGGGCCAGGGGTTTTGTTGATGGAGGAGAGACCATGGGATCAAGGAGCCTGCTTCCCTCCCACTGCATGAATGACAACCATCCTTGTTCCTGCCAGAATGTCTTGAAACTTTGACATGGAAAGATTTGACTATGCAGCTTGCCAAGATCAAGGCAGCCCRTCACCGTAAATCAAATGTTTAAAGCCTTACCCTGAAATGTATTAGCTGARCTATGTGTGTTCTGCATATCTTTCCAATTTCTGTCTAATGAAATGAGTTCATATCATCATTAAAACTGAAATTTTATAACCTCAGAGTAAGAAAAAAAATTGTACATGAAGTGGATGCTTATTCCAGGCTAATACAGATTTTCTGGCAAATGGTTACAGAAAGCTTTGTGAGGTGAAGATTTATGACAATATTTTTATTGCTGAAGTGAATGTAATGCCTGCAAAGRCTTGTTGGCAAAGTAATAGATAAGAAAGTAAAGGTTGGATTAATTAAAGTGAGTTACTATTTTGCCTCCTTTTTTTTTTTCTTTTTATATTACTATCTGGTGAGCTTTCTGAAAACAAAAATCAGTTTCTTGCCAAAAGTCATAGATAGTTGCCTTGCAAGCCACATTTTGCAAGTATGTAAGAAATGTTTTAACAGCCTGTGACAAACTTTATGATTTGGGTATTTTATGAAGTATTTAAGCTTTTTATGCTTTTTCCTACCAGTAAAATGAAATAAACATAGAAGGAACTGGCTAATAAAGGTCCTTAAGTTTCTAAAAAAAACCACAAACAAACTACATCTCAAGGAGCTAAGCCTGATTCAAGCATGCAATCTCTGACATGAATATTTACAAATAGCATTCAGCTCCTATAGTAGTACTAATGGTCTTTAGTTAAGTAACAATGAAAGCATACAGCTATAAGAGGAAGAAAAAAAAAAGATCTACATGTAAGTCAGTTTTGTTATTTGCTTCCAGAAAAAAAAAAAAAAAAAAGAGGAAGAAAAAAAAAAGATCTACATGTAAGTCAGTTTTGTTATTTGCTTCCAACAGACATCTTTAAAACAGAAATTGTGTTTAAAAATCGCTCAAAAAATAAAGTGTCACCTGTAATTTAAGCTTCGTCCTTTTCAGATACTGTTTACGAGCACAGTTGCTTGCACTAGTAATGGATACTTGGCATTGTCAATCTGATGTCCCAGTCAGGTGACGTTGGCATGAAATGCAAAATAAYGTTATTATCCCTCTCCAAAAATAGAACTTTTAAAAAAATAAAAGAATCACTGGTGGCTTTTTATTTTTTTTTTTATTTTTTTAAATTTTTTTAGCATTCCTATTTCTGTGGAGAAAAGGATCCAATTCAATAGACAAAAGTACTTGTCATTCAAAGATTTTTCTCATGGCTAAGGGAGTCAGGCTGCAGTTCGAACAAGTATATGTATTTGTGGTCTACACCCAAGCAATAGAATGTGGGCAGCACGAAGCAAATGTAGGGGTCAGTATCAGTTCAGAGGAAGATGAGTTCCTTCCATATACAGGTTAGAAATGATTCCTGCTGACAGCTGCAGTGAGTGGAGAACTTTGGGTTTGGTGACAGAAATTAAACCAATGCATTAGAAATATCCCTTATGTGTTGGTGTCTTCACTGTCTTCAGCTCAAGTGCTATATTTTATTAAGTGAATGTCATCAACTGTTATCTAGTTTTTTATAAGTTCTTTCAAGAATCTAAGGTGGTCTGAGTTAAGAAGCCTCAGAAAAAAAAAATTACAACTGATAACATTATTTACACCTCAAATATTTGCATGGCAAGGCAATATAAAAGCTCAAAGTATGTATTGCAAAACTTGCTGAATTCTTTCTGTGCATATTTCATCTCTAGATGCTACATGGGTACCATATGTAGCCCAGATTGATGTGGTGAGTATTTATTTTAACAAGTGTGATAAATAGCTGCATAAATCACTCTAATTGACTAGAATACAAATTGAAGCTGCCTGCAGGCAGCTCTATTTTATCTTACAAACTCTGAGAAAGTTCCCTTTCTTAATAGATGTCCTATGCTATAGTTTTTGGACCCCAGAATATCCTTTTCTACTTTTTTGATGTGCCTGCCTTTTAGGGCATAATGTTAGCTATTTGTGCACAAGGGAAGGAGGCTTCAAATAATACTAAAACTACAGAATTTATTCAGTTTTAGTACAGTCTGAACTTTTTATAACTAAATTCCATAGAAACTCTACACAGCATACATTGAATTGAGCCCTAATTTTAAGTAATGGTTTTTCAAATCTTTTGGGAAATCATCTTTGTGTATCTCTAGGCACTCTAAAACTGTGTAAGCAAGGATGGCTCCACAGAGATTTCGCATATTAGCAATAGGAATTTTATTTAAACTATGAAACGTACTGAGAAATTTTCCTAGATGCCAAAGCATATTAGGATACAAAATGGAATGTTTATATGGGTAGCTGTTTTCTATGTGGTCCTGCTGTGCCTTTAGAAATCCTTCACTTCTGTTAATTTCTACCAGAAGAATATGCTTGCTTCCACTTTAGAAAGGACCCCTTTTTCTTTCCCATCTCCCACTTTCTTTTTTTTTTTTTTTTTTCAGAGAGATCCAAAAATAAGATCCAAAAAGGATATCACAGTATTCCAAGGACAAGCTTTTTGTGGTCTGTATATGGAATGGCTTTATCTGCAAGCATGTGAAATAGACTCAAGGTCTTTAGAAGAGAAGTCTTTTTGGTATGTCCAGTTCACCTGAGTATCATCTCCTAACTAGAACATATTTAGTCATTTGGTTTTGGAGTCTCCATCCTTGGAGATACTCAAAAGCTATCTGGACACAGTCCCAGGCAACCACTCCCTCATGGACCTGCTTGAGCAGGGCAGGGTGGACCAGGTCACCTTCAGAGATCACATCCTTTGATCCTATGAGCCTATCAGCATATCAGCAGTTTGGTAACCCAAGTTCCAGCATGTGAGATTGTCTACATTGTGCAGTGTATCGGTTGAGAAGATTTTACAACATTTTCTGCCTGAAAGGAAATATTCTGACAAAATGGAAAGTAGTACAAATTTGTTGTTCACCAGAAGAAGCTTTAGTTTTAAAACTCTGCATTTTATGCATTACTACTTCCAGTTCAGGTTTTGCAGAGGTAGAACATTATATACCACCCTTAGAGAAAATCCCACTGAAAAAAACTTTGCTTTTGCTTTTACCCCATACATACATTAAGAAATGCAAATCACTTCAAGACAGAATGTTGCTGCTGAAAAAAACAAAAAAAAAGAAGGAGACCAGGTATTAGCAGAAGCAGAAATAATGCTGCAAATCTCCATTTATCCTTGTAGAATGCTAGCCCTTCTGCTGTAAATATCCTGGTTTTCGACTTCTTCTGTCCTATCCAAATTCCTTAAGAGCTTTTCTCTGTCGAGGCTGATTTCACCTTACTGCTCTGTGTGGGGACAGACAGAAAGGGAACAAAATTATCTCTGCAGAGAGAAGCTGAGGTCTCATCCAGAAAAATCACCTAACCTGAAAAAACTCTAAAGAAAATATTGAGAAGGACTGCTTCCCATAGCTACTTGTGCTAATTCCTTCCAAAAGTGGAGTAGTGGAGAGACTTGCTTTCAAGAGCCAGATTGAGAGTGCATTTCTCTCACTCCTTGCAACTGGAGAACAGAGGCTACTTTTGCCTGCTTATGCCATATACGGAATATTCAAGGTGARACTTGTGTCCTATGTCTGCTCTGTAACATGTAACTTGCACCCAGTAAAGTAGAACTAATTGACTGAGCTCAGAAAGTTGATTATGGTTTTATCACAGGGGTGCTGCACACAACCTTCAGCCCTCAGATCCTGCCATGCATTTCTGTAGCTGCTGTTACCGAGCTACCAGTAACACGGTGCTGATCTTTTTCTGTTCTCTTGCTGGGCTGAATGGCGAGGGTTCAGCTGCCAAAGCAGTAACAAACAGAAACTGCAAGCAAAGAAAAATTATAAAARAAGATTATGATACAGACACCATTTGCTTTAGGCGTCCACAGACATCCTACACTAAGGTGCTTTTCCAAAGAACCTCAGCATCTCCACATCAGCYTGGTGAACTAAAAAGCACTGTCATTGAGAGAGAAAAAATCATGTCACCATTCACATAAYGATACAATTAAAAGCCTCAGTATAAGCACAAGTAGGTTGCTCTTTGTTAGCTTAACAGCAATTGGAGGAGACTGAGAGCAAGCGGAAAACTGCCTTTGCCATGTCCTGCATAGCAGAACTGCAGCACAAAGGCTCTCCTGGAAGAGCTGTCTCTGTTGGTCAGGCACTGTTGCTGATGGGAAATGTGGCTGGTAAGGAACCAGCAAGGAGTCGAGCATGTGCAAAGCCCTGCCTTCCCTTGCATACAGTTGTCTCTGCTGGGCTACCCACGCTGCCACTCAGACTTGATAATCAAAGAGGGAGTCTGAAAAAATGGGCAGAAACTTTTTCAAAATAAAACAGCCATGGTCTGGAATGGCCTAAGTTTAAATTTCATTTAACCTTACTGCAACATCCACAAATACCCTTGCTTCCACATCTCTCCCATGGGATGTTCCCCTTCTCCCTGAATCCTCACAGTAGCTTCCTTGCAATTGAACTTTGCACTCTGGGGAGGAGGTAGGTCAAGAGAGGAGAAAAGGAGGGAAAATAAAGCCTTTGTTTGTTGGCAGAGATATCATCAGAGCTATTTTCATTATTCAGAGTGCAAGTGCCGGTATGTCTGGGCTCCACTGCTGTTGTTTTTGGTACTTTTTGGCAATACAGAATGAAGCAGCTGTATTCCTGGAAGATCTTCTCTTTCTTTGTCCCCTCCCACCTTTAACCTAAATGTGACTAGGTAATATAGGAAGGTATGTCAGCTAGAGAAGCCTTCCACTTGCACCAGCTCTGCTACTATTACTCAATATATATCACCTACCCAAATCTCAAAGAGTCAAATAAACACAATTAGGGGCTAAGATGATGATGTTGCACTTTTCTGTGCGGTCTGGACACCTGCCCAACTCTCACCTCAATTGCTCCATAAATGTGAACTGTGTCAGCAAATAGAAAGCATGACACCTGTCTTCAGAGCAGCCTGAGGAGACTGTTTAGGCTAGTGGTTTATCAGTAGAGTGATAGCCAAGAAAAAGTAGACAAACTTCAAAAGAGTTGTCTGAAGATACATGTAGGACTTGACCACTTAATGTACAGCATTATCTGAGAGTCTAGCTTGGAGTGAGTCATTTGGATTGTTTTTTTAATAGGCATTTTTTTACTTTATTTATTTTTAGTGTATTCCTATTATTATTATTACTGATTGAGCAGGAGTTAAACATTGATGTTGTTCTGAGATAGCAAAACAATGATGTGTATAGAAAAATAACATAATTCTGAAAAGCCAGTGCTGCTAGACTGATGGTCAAGCACAAACATCTTTAGTTCCGACTTTGCAGAAAAAAAGCCAGCTCTCTTTTAGCATTTTGTTAGTGGTCCCTTTTAATATCTAGTACTGTGGTAGCTGAGTGATTTCTAGTAATGMAGTAAATCCTGTGACAAGTCTCTGCGATGTGCCATTCTTTTTCATCCCACTTTTCCTCTCCCTGAGGAAAGAAAGCTGTATGTGATGCATTTTCTGTTTGCCTTTTTATTTTTTCTGTGTTTAAGACACACATTAGGAAAGATCAAGGGAATATGTTTGTTTATAAAGTAAAAGGCTAAATCTTCATGTGCTTAATATCTARTTGCATTTTGGACTGGGTCTGCAGAAAGTTGTTTCCTGACTGAGTTTTGCTTTTCCAACGCATGTGTTCTTATGGTAGAGAAATAGAGAGATGCTGATGAGCTGTCAGTGTCAGGGTTGGCTGCCCTTCAGGACTATTTTCTTTCTCTCCCCTCATTTTCTGCCAGCTCTAGCTGACACAAATATGTCTCTGCTGTACACCAAAACAATGACCAGAACTGACTCAGTATGAGCCCAATACRAGGTGGTTTTGGGTTGTATTGGACTGCTTTAGGGGAAACAAAGGGTAGAAAATGAAGTGCACAGGGCAGTGACCTCATTTCTGTGCTATGAGCATTTGCAGTGGGCAGTAGGCCATGGGCAGGAGGTGGCATGGCTGGAACAAACCCTGCTGCAGCAAACCTGACAGGGTTTTGGCAGGAAGAAGCATAAACTGGGTAGGTAGGTTTCTCAGATGACATGAACCAAACATTACTGATGCTCTCCTAAAACCTTCCCACCAACTAACTTATTTTTTTGGTAGAATAGGAGGAATGCAAGTGGCTATGAAGGGAGTGAGCTGGAATAACAAGGATCAGTACATCCCCTTTACATATCCAGCTACTACCTGAGATGCTGAAAGAATCCTGTGGCACCTTACTTGTTTGCCCACTCATTCCCACCAGGTTCGGCTTGCCAGTGCAGGAGAGACCACTGCAGCAGGCAGTGGTCTGAAGCCAGCTGACACATGTCAAAAAAAGGGGGGGTTAAGTAAAGGAAAAAAATAAAAGCTAAACCAATGAGCTCAACAACCAGAAAAAAAATTAAACAAAGGAAAACTGCAGACCTTTGATTTTTCACCCTGATGTTGAGGCAGATCATAAAATTTAGGACAAATCATGACATGTGTCATCTATGGTATAAATGTAGTCCAAGCTCCCGGCAGCATTTTTATAGGGCGGATAAAATTTGTCTGCTTTGCATCCTTGCTTTAGTTCTAATTCTAGTATATGGAAGAGTCTGGTCCAAGTCAGACAGCTCATCTCAGAACAGCTCAGCAGATGTCTGTCCTTGTGAGTCCTGGCAAGATGTCACAGGAGGCCAGATTGCAGATAAGGAGGCACCCCTCCCCTGCTAATTTCAGTGGGAACTACGGGGCTTAACCCTTCTAAGAAATTGGCCTGTCATGCCTGAATGTTTGTGCAAAGTAACTTCTGCTTCTGGTACCCAATGATTAGAGGAAAGAGTATTTCCTAAACCCCCCGTTCCTACTGAAAACTCCAATTTCTCAAAGCTAGTATAGGAACCTGCCACCCTCCAAAACATTAGAAGTAGCTGTCCACTGGATTTCTATTCTGCAAATAGACTAGTATTAACAGTATGAATATTTCCCTTATATATACAATTATCCCAAGAAAAAGAAACATTCTCTTGTCTTTAAAGATAAACCTTTACARAAGGTCCATGGGGTGAGAGCAATCAGAGTGCTCTTAAGAGTGTACTGTCGCTGCGAGACTATGATTTTTCCCTCCTTTCTTCACCATTTTTCCTTGGCAATGCCATGACAATTGTTCAGTGCTGAGAAGACTCCCTGAAAAAGACTCCAAAATTCTGCCCAAATTTGCTGCTTCTTCGTTTTTTCGAAACAGTGATTGCCAAGCATTCAGACATAGTGATTGTGGTGCTGTAACACAGTTTTAGCCATTAGGTCTCACAGTAGTCTTTTACAGGGAGTTTAGACATTAGTTACCTACAATACCAATACCAACTGATTTTGCAATGCTTTCCCTGGGAAGATTTCAAAATTCAAAAAGGAGGTCAATAGTATATCCATACTTTTAAATCTGCTGCAGTTTAATAGACCCCAGTTGGATGGGCTGATATTGGCATGCAGATACAGCCAACACATTCAGCAAGTGCAACATATGATGCCACAGAAACATGACAGGGAGCTCAGAGATCTCCACACTTTGGCTTTGCAGTTTCTACAATCTCCTTCCCTCTCCCATTTAAAATGCAAATCTTGTGCCAAATAATGGCAGAAGGATTTTATGCTTTCACTTCTGCCAGACTCTTAGAAAATGTTATCACTCTCCTCTCAGGCTGTTTTCTTAGGAAGGGTTAGTGCAAACTATTTTCACCTGTGGGACTTGCTTACTCCCACACCAGATTCTCCATGGACAAAACTAGATTGAAGCTGGAATGGCAGTCACTTGCATTCTCTTTTTCTCTGCAATCACTATCAAAGGAACATATAGGGGAGGGAAATGGACTATATCCCAAATCAAGAGGACCCTCTTCTCTGCTCTCAGAAAAAAGAGTAAGGTTAGGTTTTTCTCAGCCTCCTTTTTATAACCTCTGACTTTCTGTGACTTTCTAATGTTGATGTTATCTTTTAAATGCACTAATAGTGCCTTGGGCTTTTGAGTGGAGAAAAGCATCCAGCTTCCCTATCCAGAAAATCTTTTAATAACTTCCCTTGGAGGCTGCGGTTTTGCCCAAGGCAGAGGCTTACCCAGCACAGCTGGCACTGGAGAGGACAGGACTAGGGAAATGGGATAGGGATACCAAAAGAAGGAAACGCATTGAAGGAAAAAGGAGTGTGGTGTTCACAGGCAGATTTGTAAGACTGTTGCCTGTTTTCCTGCTGAGGTCAGGCTGTTGAGTGAAAACAAGCAGAAAGCAAGAGACAAGGACAGACTAGAAGACATTTAATAGCTCATTTAAAATAACACACTATTGTCAACATGCAAACGACCTACACCTGTTAAAGGTGGTGCAGAATATCATATTGTGTTTTGCCATTTATCCAGTGCATATGTTTAAAAAAATAGATAGAAATACTGTCCCATCAGGAGTTTCAGTATATAATCTTGCTTTTATAAGAAACAGCTTGGCATTGAAACAGAGACGTAAAAGTAACATAATAGATACACAAAACAGGTTTTAAATAAGTTTCTAAGCACACTTTCTACTGAAATACATTTTTTAAAAATTAGTTTTACATCTATAAATATGTAGTACAAAAAATGCAAGTTTACAAGCCATTTTTCCCAGTAACTATGCCTTTTGAAGCCTTAAGTAGCAACATTCTCCCAATATGATGCATACATTTAAGAATAATAATATTAAGTATTTAAATATAAAGTTATGAAGTGTTTGAGAACATAAATTAGTAATAACACATAAGATAAAAATACATGCACTGTGAAATAAATAATTAATCAGCTTTACATATGAGGTTATCTATAATATTATACAAACAAAATATACAAGATTATAGGGATTTGATCTTGCAGTTGCTCTTATTTGTTACTTGAGCATCTAGGCAATCTCAGTGCAGTAAAAATGTTACTTTATGGGGTTACTCATACACTGAAAATCAGGTGCACAAGACTACCTTAGTAAAATGGGTCCTGAGTAGAACAGGCCCCACAGAAAACGTGGTATGAAAAACCTTGGTGCTTAGTTTTATTCTTGTGAGCTGAGATACTGTTGGCATTCTGGGTCTCCTTTAATTTCTGGAGATCCAGGAATTCTTTTGCCATTTATTGGATAGACACACCAGCATTCAGCAGACTCTCCATCCAGTAAAGTTGCACACTAAGATATAATTAGCAAAAGAAAAATCACAATAAGTAACTGTGAGATTTCCTGTGAGGTACTACAAAGAGATGTTGGACAGAATTAGGATCAGAAGGTGRGGACCTGCTATGCACAGGCTTGTTTTGAATGCAGAGCCTCTAAAACAACACACTTGGTTAGGGAGCCAAGACCTAAGCTCAGCTATTGCAAGAACAACTTCAGATTTAAAACTGTTCTGTCTTTGGTAAACAGCAGCAGCAAACAGCAATATCTTCCAGTGTGAGAAATGGAAGGATGTGAGAATATRCAGTCTGATAGCATGAGAGCAGTGACTGAATTGTCTGTCTCTTCACACAAGGAGACAAATAACATGGTATGTTTTGCTTTTTTTTTCTTGGGGARGGGTTTAAATATATTTCTGTTTGTGCTTGATTAGATCCCAGGTCACTGGTGCTCATGAGTCACACTGTGATGCCATGCTCAAAAACAAGGAGTCTTGATGACACAGATTTATGAAGAGCTACTAAATTTGTGTGCATGACCTGTGGTTACAGGGTGTGTCTTGAGGTTCAAAGCTTTAGTTAGCTTTGCAAATTACTCTCACTGTAACTTGCAATAGTTTTGAGGGTATAATGGAAATGAGCAAATAACCTAATCCACAGGCATCACAAATCAGTATTTTTGTTTGGCTTTCAGAMGGTTTATTTTGGTCCAAAGAGTCTTTTTTTTTCACTATGTACGTTTTCCGTTGCCTGTGAGCTGAGAGCCCGCTTTTTACCTAGTGATTATGATATATTCAATGGGCTTTGGCAGGTAGTATGGCAGATATTACAAATTAATGACAACTAGAAATATGCTAACAAATCAAGTACATGGGAGCAGACAGGGTTAAAATATTTTGGAGAAGCTTTGAGTGCACCTGTTCAGTGAATGGAAAAGACTTCTCCCTCTACTGCTGACAGCCCCTTAGCTGTCAACTCACCTTAAAGAGAAGGACAAACCATCTCCTCCCACTACTAAGTATTCCTATTTTCACAACCGGCTTGTCCAGCCGCAGCAAACTTGTGAGTTTGGGAGCAGAGGTCTGTGAAAGGGTTGGCTTTCAGACTAATCAGACTAATCACAGCAAGCAGAGATGGGGGAAAGGCACGCACCTGTTTGCTGTGGTAAAATCCATTCTTGTTGCAGTTGGGTAAGTAGAATTTGTAAATCTCCCCTCTGCTTCTCTGTTGGGCCTTCACCAATTTATACAGGGCTCTGTAGAGCTCCTTCTGACAAGGACCCTGCAAGAATACCATGCACAGGTAGTGAATACCAAAAATCACAAAGAAATCAGCTACACAAAAGGTGATCAGAATATAGACAGCAAAAAGCTGAAAATACTTATTAGGCATGAAAATACTTATTAGGCATTAGACTGTTTTGCATGCAGTTTTTCTTGTTTTGGTAGGACCACAGCCAGAAAGTAAACTAAGTAAACATATTACTGCTCAGAGGGTACAATCTCTTCTATTACAGGGAGACTGATATGTGAGATTGGCCATGTTTTCTGGGTTACCATGGCCTTGTACTCTGTTGATATATAGACAATAAGTGCAAGACACATATAGATGGTGCAAGAACAAACATCTGAATGTTTGTTATCTTTTGTATAGGACAGGACCCCATTGCCAAAGCAACATGGAGCCATTCTGTAGCTCTGGGACCAAACCCGAAAGTTCTTGGAAGTGGGGATGAAGAACTGTTTGAAATATTCACTGTTTTCACAATTTGCTGGCTCTCATTTGCAAAGCCACAGTTGCTGTGCATCAATACTACCTAACATCAACATGAATCAGAGCAAGAAAACTGACCAAACAAATATTTCTACTTTAGAATGAAAATAAACATAACCTCTGCTTTTGCAAGACAACCCCCTGCTAGCCCCTCATATAAGCTGTCCCATTCCAGTTTGTGAGTTTATCTGTGGCTCTGGGGGAGAAAAGAAGAAGCCCTAGAATTCAGAACTGTAACTAACAGCACATGTGCATATCAGTTCAAATTAAATTAGTGATTAAGTCCTTTTCTGRATATGGAATTAGGCTTCATAAGGTACAGTGGTGATTAGTATATTTTTTCTTTTTCTTTTCCATTTTGTCAGGGACCATTACGAACCCAGGCTTCTGCACTGCCCGACTAACCCAGCTCACCAACGCAGCGGCGCCGCTACCTGGGACGGGTCWAACCGTGGTTCTCTGGTGCCCTCAAGTGGAACATGAACCTGCTTGCAAAGGCCCTACACCCTCACTACCCACTAGGATTTTGCAGTATCGAAGTTCACTTTAATTGTTGAGCTTTTTGTCTTTCTACATGCATATACTTAACAGTGTTTCCTTATGACCAGAGAGAAACACATTTGGTTTTGCACTGGCGTTTCATCAATAACTGCATGGAAGGACTTCCTTTTATTTCACTGTGTGTTAGACCAGTGACAAATGCCTTTTCTTAACTAAAACACAAAAGGAGTCCAAGAATTTAATAAGGATTCCTGTAAATTAAGGGTCCATGTTATAATTTGATCATAAATGCAGTAAAACATTCAGCTTCTACACGGACTCTGTGTAGGACATACCTGATGCATGCCTGTTATTATTGCTCCAGACATTTTGCCTGTTCCTTAAGAATCTGATGAGGACATTACAAAAGTCAAATTGCCAGCTACCCAAAATACTGACACTCAATGTTGCTGCTACAATTTTTTGTGAGTATCTACTGAAATAGTCTCTGAATGGTTTACAAAGAAAATGTACCTGCTCTTTCCATTTCTTGAGTTCAGATATTCTCTTTGCTTTCATGTTTTCATATGCAGTGATGGAATTCCAGGGGATGGATTTATCTGGGCCTATGGGAATCATCAGCTGATAGCTCAGCAGCTGATCCTGTGTTACTTCAGTGCTCTCCAAAGGCATATCATCAGGTTCTACAGAGTCTGGAATGAATGATAATAAAGGTGAACATCTTCAATGAAAAACTTATTTCTCAAAGTTAAAAATAATCAACTACCCCCCCCCCCCCAAAAAAAAAGGAMTATATATGATCCATTACACTAGATCTTGTAGGAATAAATTACATGTGCAGCACAGCAAGTTATACTTGGTCATAAATTCATAGAAGGGCTCAGCAGCTATTCCCTAACAAGCTGGTTATTTTATGATCCTTCAAAATCATTTGAATCCCAAAGAAGCTACAGTCAGTCTGTTAGAAATATAAAAAACTTTCATGAGCCATGGTGGGTTGTAGAGACTTGGCTAAATGAGAAAAGACCAAAGTTAAACTGGTAGTGAATCTAGATTTTTGTCAGTCATGTATTTCTGGTTTTATTCATGAGAGGAACTGGTCCAGACCTCATCCCATGGTATCCTGTACTTTGGTTTTGCCTCGTGTATAAGAAGGGGTAAAATTCACAGGAGCCAGCAGTAGCCAAATAGCAAGTAGCCTTCAGTAGATCAAATAGCCGAGGACTGGCAGAAAATATTTGATCTGCCTGATCAYGGCCTGCAAGCCAATACCTAAATCAGCATGTGTGAACTCTTCCACAGAGAGCAACAGAAACTCTTTGCAGTTGCAGGCAACTCATTTTAGGATAACATTTTCAAGTGTCTAAATAACTTGCTGGATCAAGGCTGTAAACAGGCAATGGACTAAAAAACACCCTTTGACAATGTTCAAGAAAGAATGGAGATGAGAAATTGAGGAGGGAAAGAAAGGGAGAAAGAAAGGAAGGAACCAAGCAAGCAAACTCAGGAAAGAATCAAATCAAATCAAATGCAGGTAGCTGAAATACTTAGTTCAGTTGCTGTTCTCTACCCTCCCCCACTTCCTCAAGTACAAGCGAAGCTCCACTTACATCTACTAATGGCTATTGTTATTTTGAGTCAATGATGAGTATTTTTGTAATGCTACCAAGTTACCTTAGTCACATAGTAGTAATGATGATGAAAATAATAATCATAATAAATTGAAAAACAATTGAATAACACTGAAGAAATCCATGACCATCATATAGTTTAATATGCTTGAGATGCCTTTTTGCYTCAAGATAATTTGGCTAGCACTCCATAACTCTAGGCACAAAGTCTGCTTAGTCTTTTCATTCTCTATTGTGACTTTGAGACGGACATAAAGCCTTTAAAACATTTGTCCTACTCTGGCTACCGTTTGCTACCAAGGAAAAACTGCAGCCTCTCTGATACTTTATTCTGATTATCCTGCATTGTTCCATCACTATGTTTTAGGGTTTGCGTGCTCTCAGACTGTCGCCTACCAGCTTGTTGCGGACATCTCTTAGGCCCGTCAACAGGATGTGCCTCACCTTGAACAGGTCAGAGCACGTTTCCCTGGAAAGTGCATTCTAGCCCCCCTATTTTTCAGACGCCTGCCTAACTTCGCTCATTGTTCCCCGCTTCTGGCTCCCAGAGCCCACAGCGCCGTTTCCAGCTGCGGTGCATCGCGCCCKCCGATCCCCGCGCTGCCCTCGGCCGGGGCTGCGCCGCAGCGTCCGGCGCGCAGCTCCCGACACGGCCCGTCCAGCGGAGCGGCGCGGAACGGGGACGCCATGGTGCGGTACCTGSCGGCTGTGCCGTGCGCATCGCTCCGACCTCACTGGCAGGCAGGCACGTCCCGTGGCCCTGGATGAGGGCGGAGAGGGGCCGGGGCTCTCCGGCGGGGACGTGGCATCGGAGCCCCAGGCGACAGCGGGCGGTGTAAACCCCACAGGGCTGTCCCGGCCCGAGGGCGCAGGTCTGGCAGCAGCCGCAGCGGGCCTGACGGGCCGCCTCCGGGCAGTCGGGCGCGACGGGCGGGCACAGAGCGAGCCTTTCGGGGGTGCAGGGGGCGCAGAGCACGGGCTGCGCGCCTCGGTCGAGGCGGGCGCCCGGCAGCAGCAGCAGCAGCAGCGCCGGCAGCAGCAGAGCMGGGAGCCAGCGGCGGCACGGCGCGCACCGCGGGCCACTCATAGCGCTGAGCAAGGCCCGGGGTAGGGCAGCTCGGCGGCCTGGGGAGCAGGAGACACTTCACATACATTCGGCTTGCCCGGGTCATTTATACACGGCTTTGSCTGGCTATTAATCTTTAACCCCGAGTTAACTATTATCTGAACAGGAGGGCTGGAGAAGCAGCTTTTCGCTGACGGTACAAGTCCCTGGCTACTCTTCCCCTCCCCTTTCACTTTCCCCTTTTATCTGTTTTCTTTCCTCCAGACATGCAGGAATGCTTTTATTCCCTCACCCCCACCTCTTTGCCTCAACACAGTTAACAAAGAAAAATGTGATGGGGGCTGGAGGCAAAATTGACAAAAAAATGAATGAGTGGGTGGTATCCCCTCCCCTTCTGCCTGTCACAAATGTCTCCTGTTCTTGATATGTCATAAAAATGTAATGTTCAAAATTGGAGGGGGGGGGGGGAGGGAGGACGGAAGTCCATTGAAACTGAAGCAAACAATTTCACATTTCCACAGCAACAAATGCAGCAAACCCTTGTTTAAATTTCGTCATGTGGCTGCAGGTTAGGAGTACACTGACATACCGAAGAGGAGGCCTCAAGGGTAATAAAGCCATTAGGATCTTGTAACTACTGCACACATGCACGTACGAGTCCTTGCATTAACCTCTGGGAGGGGCTGCGCAGCTGAAGCTGTATCTCCTGTGCCTGGGCTCAGTTTTGCTACTGCTCCTGGGATGAGAGGAGGATCAGTCCTCAAAACATGCATTTCAGGGAATCCAGTATTTGTCAAACAGTCCAAAAATAAACGAGATACCCCCTTTTCTGTCTGTACTGTTAACCCCCTCCATCACCTCATGTATCACCTAGGGGAGGTGTAGGTAGCAAATATTTCCTTTTCTCCTCGCCTGCAACAGTTGTTACTTGAGTAAAAGTACTAAACTGTCACTGTGCTAAACAGATTATTTAATCCTGGTATTCACAGTATGTACCAGGCTTGAAATAGCACATTCCACTGCAAAGTCATCTAATGCAGCATGATTCTTGTTTAGTTGGGGTTTTTKTTTGGTTTTTTACATTTATTTATCCTTTTCTGTAAATACATTATCTATGTGAAAGAAAGTGAAGCAGAACTGCAGAGCATGTTTAATGTTGTTATTCACTCTGTTTTCTGATATTTATACCAAAGCTCTTATTTATTATGTAGTTGGTTTTTTACTCTTCTATATTCTTAGGTTCTTTGGGAACCTAAGTTGGTTCCCAAAAGCATTCTCATTGATTACAGACTTGACACATTTTCACTTAACTACTTTAATTTTTTTTTAAATTCAGATAGTTTGGGGTATCTTTATTTAGATACATAAAAGTTGGTAGCCCTCAAAACTCATTAGCATTTTGAAGTATTTTAAAGAAATCTAATTTTACAGAATTTATAACAATTCTGTGGACTTCGCATGTCTAACTGGGAGTAAATTTTGGCTGAAAATTTAGGGCATGACAGCTTCTGCAGAATATTGCAAATAGACTTTTCAAGCTCTTTTTCCATTTAATTTCTACTTTTTCATGTACATCTGTCTTAGAAAATGATGATTCTCATATGATTTAAAATTAAGTGAAAAATATACAGAATTATGTCTTCTTTTGTCTCCCAAAGAGAAAAAGAAAACAATGCAAAACAAAGTCTCTTTCATGAAGAAACATGAAAAAAAATTACAAATGGAAAGTAGACAAAGTCGTAAAATGACAAAGATGCAAAGAACTCTTATGCATTTGTATATGTGTATGCATGTATTCATTCACTTATCTCTTTTACAGATTTCTGCTATTTAGATAGCTTTTTATGAACAGCATGGAGGATCATTGACCAGCTGCCTAACATAAGCTACTTGCCTCGGAAATTACTGTACTCCAGACTTTTACTGTCCTGACTGCAGTTCTTCTGTCTAAAAAACTGAGATGAACTGGGAGGATTGTCTCCGTTTGAAAGACAAGTGTTTGCCAATGAAGGCAGGGACCCCCCTTGGAGTGGTGGATATGACCCTCCTTCCCTCTGATTTATTACAGCTTTGAAAATCACGGACTTTCAGGCAAGAATATGGGTAAAAGATAATAAGTTTTTACTAATATGTATAACAAGGTGAAACAGGTAACAACAATAGCAACAACCAACTCAGCAACAAACCCCAATGACAGCCTCACAGAGATACACCCTTCCCTTTGGTGCAGTTACAGTCCCAGTCAGCAGGGGCGCTGTTGGCTCCTGGCCAGGCAGGGTGGGTGCAATGATGCCCTGGTGGCTGCAGGGAGCGCTGTGGCACGGGTCCCGGCTAGGTTCATATCTCCCACATGGCCAAGGACAGGCACAAACTGGCAGAGAGGGATGGAGAAAAAGTTCCTCTGCAAACTCATAGCGGAAAACGCCAATCTCGGTGCTCCTCTGGACAGCAAGAAACGCCAGAATGGCCAGATGAGCAAAGAGATGAGCAGAATCCTGTGTGTGCAGACAGGATGCAACAGAACTCGACCACTGCAGCTGGAATCCCAGGGGTCCCCGGCAAGGCGTGGGGGAAGGGGGGGATGGGGGAGGGGGGCAGAAGATCACAGTGCAGCAAACAGGAACCGACGACAGCAGACGCTGGATTCTGCAGCAGCAGGTCCACTATCCTCCCCCGAGCCAAGCAGGGCAGGAAGTGAAGCTACCCCCTGCCCCACGCACACACATGCACCTTCCCCAAGCCCAAGACTCCCGTGAGAACTTGCCTCTCTCGAAAGAGAGGGATAAAAAAACCTGCCAGGCAGGAGAAGTGCCCAGGGAGATCCTTTGGGTGGGGGGTAGATTCTTTTTGTCTTCCCCAATCGCCCAGCCATCAAAAGGATGACCTGGCARTCAGTGTATCCCAGCAACAAAATGGGAAAGAAAAATTCCCCAAGAAAGGAAACAAAAGGAGAAACCTTAACCCACAAAAGGATATGTCTTTTAATGACATATGTGCACCCTTTTAGAGGTCAAATCTTTTCAATGTACCCAGTAAGATAAACAAAAGATAAACAGCACTCCTTCCCATAGATCATAAAACATTCTGTAAGTATTTTTGTTTTGTTTCCTTTATGATTCCAGGTCAACTTGAAATGTTGGCCTATTTTGCACTTGCTATCTTTTGTGAAATCAGGTTGAGGAAACCTAAACTCCTGCTAAAGCAGACTTTGTGAGTAGATGTTCTTCTGTACAAAAAGTATCTGTCCCTTCATATTTCATTTATATAAGCATGACAAACATATTTTAGAATAGGTTATGATAATTTAGGCCAGTATTAATCAATCAGGCAATGCCTTTGTATAGGTCATGGGACATCAATGAAGTGAAAGTAAGGTATATGTTTATGTAGACTTTGTTTGATGTAATACTACAACTCATCTACCAATTTCCATCTCTGACCCTGATATTGCTTAAAAGAACAAAAACAGGTAAGAGTCAGGAGGTTATAAACATTCATGATRTAAAGGTGTGTTTACTGAAGTCTTTTGATTTCAACTGTTGAATCCTAATTTGAACCACTTGTCAAAAGACGCCACATGAATTCTAGGCAAGGGTTACTTTTTCTGTAAGATTTTCTCATTGGTTTTTCAATAATTCTTAGTCAATGACCTCACTTTCCATGATAAATAAAGTTTGGGATTTTAAGATTATTTTTCTTTGAAGTCATATGGACTGACTCACAGAATGTAAAGTTTTAAATAAATTTGTGTACAAGTGATCTTTGTTCACTAATTGTCAAAAATTCAGGTGACTTGAACAATAATTTCCTACTAGGACTGCCTCTCTGGATATGTTTTAAAAAAAMCCCAACCAACCAGTGGAATATCCTCATTACCTTTTTTTTTAGGTGAGAAATTAATTCTGAGTTTTTAAGCTTAATATCCAAAACCACTATGTGATGCATGCACATGCCCAGCTCCACAAACACTTGGCATCAAGCATGTGAAGAGAAACAGCTATGTTTTTTGTATAAATGCAAAAAAACTAGTTTCTTCTCTGCATTTATTCCATATTAAAAAAAAATGTTTTATTTCCGCTCTGTGGATTTTTAGGAATCCTAGTCAATTGATTGTGCTCAGGTTACTGATGAATAATTTGATTCACACATTTGTTAATTGCTGTCAGTGTGTGGCAATGACATAATGAATGAATTTGGTATTATTTATCTATCCTGGTTAGGTAAATATGACTTCTAGATTTAAATTCTGGATGCAGAGAAAGAGATGTTCCAATTTTGTGTTGCACTAACTTTTGGGTACAGACTGACTCATGCTATTTTTTTCCCAGCAATTAAATTTGCCAAATATGTTTATAAACACCTAAAACTATATCTGCAGAAACTCTAATAAGAGGCTGTCTCATGGGAATTCTAGCTAGGGAAGGCTTCTATGGAATTCCTGCATTAGATCACGGGTCATGAAAAAAAGAAAGGAAAAGGTAGTTGATCTCCTTGGTGGCACCCAAAGTGTCTGGGCACTGAGCAAAACACTATGTTTGCAATGTTGTGCATACCTAAACCAGTCAGAAATTCATTTTCTACAAACTGTTGCACTCTTCTGGCAAGAGAGGTTAAAGTCCTTTAGTCATCCTATCATGGGTCAGCTGGTCTCTGAGTTTGCCTAGCTGGAGAAATAATACAGAAACACTTTGAGTTACTGTGGCATGAAAAAGCTGAAATCATGTTGCAGAGTATGAGTTCCTGTGTGGACAGTTAATATGAAAAAAGCTTCTGCTTCACCACTTCTGCTAYAGTCAGCATTACTAATCCAGGTAGGGATATTTCCTGTGACCAGCCATGGAAATAAAGGCTTTTCAGTGCCTACTAGGATGAGCTATAGCTTAGAAGGGACTTAAAAAAATTTAAATGGCCCCCTTAGCTCTGGCTCTAGGCCTCTAAAACAGGATAAGCTGTTTAAATCCCTCTGTATTCTTCGACCACTGTGTCTCTCTGGGCCCAGAAAAAGGAAAGAACACCACTAACCGTGTGATATGCCCTTTGCTGGAGTCCCTGAAGGCTGTAGGTAGGGATGGAA